ATAATGCACCGCGTGGTAATTCTAAGCGTAGGAATCTAATGCGTGGTGATCAAACGCGTAGTAATCCAACATGTGGATATCCAACGCGTAGTAATCCAACGCGTGGATATTCGACGCGTAGAGTAGTCCAACGCGTAATAATTCTCGCGCTCTGATTGGTCCGCGTTTTTCCTTAACAATTCAAAAACGAAGCTTCGAACCCCATTTTTGCAAAGGGAAATCTTATTCAGAATCACATCAGCTACCCCTCATTTCAGGAACCTACACTAATTGCGAAACACCCTGTAAATCTTATGACTTTAAATCGTGTTAGAAAATCTGAACATGCCTGCATTTCTAAATCTGTAACCTTAAAATTTCTGAAGTTTCAAATTTTTCATTTAAAAAATAAAAATATGTAAATTTGAAACTCTGTCGATCAGAAAATCTGAATCAATGAACTTGAAAATTTAAAAGCACTGAGGTTTTTTAATTAACTTCTGTTGTTCTGTTTAGTTAAGTATTGACTAATTATGACAGGTAACTATAATAATGAAGGTACTCACTCTATGATTGAGATCAATGACATCATCCTCGAGGGAAACATCGCTGTACATATCGTCCGCGGGATCACAGTTGGAACCTCTGCCAGAGCTGTTAAAACTGCTACTTCGATAAAGTTGACTAGAAAACAAGCAACAATAATTAATCATTATTTCTGGCGTGCCCATTGCCTAACGAAGCGATAAAAATTTGTAGAAATTTAAAAAATTATCAATAAAGTCAAGGTGATTTAAAAAATATGTACAGTACGTTGAAAGTGAAATTTATGAATATTCGACGTTCCAGTTGGTTTACTCCGCTGGAAATATTACTATAAATTTATACTAGTGTAAAAACCAATCGAAAATTTCGCGAAAATAGAAAACCTACTATTTGACAGAATATTAAAATTAATATTGTATTTTACTAAACCCTCCTGCGTTTCTTTTAAGTAATCCATAATTCGTTTAATTATATTTTGATCTATGCTCTTAATTTTTTAAATAAATATATAAATAAATTTATAATGTTTCTAGTGTCCCTAAAATCGACATTTGAATAACTTAATAGTTATTCTTATAAAATCAGTAGCAAATTTTCAGGTGATTCTGAAAATAATTCTATGTATTCTTCTGAATAAAATATGATTTTCTATTTTTTAAAAAAATTCAAGTTTTCAACTTGAGATGTACTCTAATAAATTTTATTAAAAATTTGAAAAATACATAGATTGTTAAACTGCATCTTCTCAAGTTGAAAACTTTTTTAAAAAATAGAAAATCATACATCATTTTATTCAGAAAAATATATAGAACTATTTCCAAGTATCGCCTGAAAATTTGCTGCTGAAGCATTTTCCCAAGCTGAAAACTAGTTTAGAATATACATTTGTTTTTGAAAATTAATTTTTTTAAAACCTGAAAGTATTGAAGAGAACAAAATGTAGTGAAACCTTACGTTAACAAACTTACTCGGATATGATTATGAAATAAAATATTGTGCTCGGAGAACTTATAAAAGCGTAAAAGGAAACAGGATGTGGAAGTGCGTGTGCAGGTAGCAGTGCCCACGCTTTAGAAAGTCTGTCGTTTTGCGTTTCGTGAAAGGAAAGGAAGGACTTGAAAATTGTCAGAGTGAGAACACCCTAAGGTTCTTCCTATGAAATATAAATTCTTCGGCGGTGAGTTACATCGTTGCTATTGTTATCTCCTGACGTCAACTCTCTGCATTGCAAGTAACTGAAATTTTTGCTTTTGTTTTTGTATTCCTTCAAAGGACTTCTTCGCGTACGTGGGTAATATTTAAATTCGTTTATCGCCGTACAGATTACATACTTAACTTCGACTCGTGGAAACTTTTTGACTATCGACGTTTTCACGGTACAGTTAAAAAAGAAAACAACTTACGTAACGCGTTAATAACGTCTATTTGAAGCTACTATTTTCGTTACAAAATCAAATAACGGATAAATTCTTACCTTGCTAACGCATTTGAACTAAGTCTCTTCCTTCCGGAACTGAAAAACAAAGAAGACGGTCGTAAAGAACGTAGCTGTTATATATAAAAATAAAAAAATATATCTTGACTAATGAAAAATAAAGTTAAAATAATTTTAATGAAATTTAAATATATTTCCGATTACTTAATACGAGGTTATAATTAAACCGTGAATCGCGTAAAACATTCAATGACAATGTACTTTGGCAGAAGGAACAGATTTCAATTTTCACGGACGAATCCAATGGGCGAGGCAGAAAATTCGTTTTGAATCGGTATACAAAGCCAAGAAAAGACAATCTATAAATAATCGTGGTTAAAGATCGAATAATTAAATGGCTCTACCTTTGGCAAGCGTACAATGTGCGTTTTAAATGGTGCACAACGTAACCTGTTTTCTATGTACAGTGGTTTATTTGACAACGAATTTGAATCAAAGAAAATTATTAAATAAAAATTAAAACTAATTAGACAAAAATATTATGATACTGAAAGGACCCTTCTACATTTGACCTTGAAACGTCCTGTGAAGGTCATATTAAAATGGCGTATTTTTCTTTAGGTGGATTAATTCTTCAGAGTATCTTGCTTAAAAAACTATTAATTAAACTACGTGGATAAAATTAACAGTCTGTAAAATACTTTAAATTGAAAAACTGCGAAACACTGAATTTGTTAAAAAAATCTCAAATATCTTCCAAATTATGATAAGTTATCTTTTGATACTTTAATTCTTTTTTACATAGAAAGTTTTGAAGAATCAATTTCTGCACAGGACGATATATCAACGCATTACAAAAATTTTATATGTATCTCACAGGGCATTTCAAGGTCATTGTAAGGTCAAATACGTGCCAGTTGATTATCATACAATTTTCATCGAAAACGTGTTTTCGTTCATAATTTTCTAAATATTTGAGAGTTCTCAGATAAACCAAACGTATCTTTATTTGCACATCAAGATGTACAGTTCAGACTCCGCATTGAAAATTCTTTAATTAAAATAATATACGACAAACTTTCCATTCATGAGAGCGTTTTCTTTCTCTCAAGATATTCTATTGTTCTTTATAATAACAGCTCAAATCATCCGTGATCATCTGTAACGAATAGATAATCCGAAAGAAAGTGACTTGTTCGGTGACATCAAGCCATTACTTCGATATTGGATATTAAATTTAAACGACTTAATGGAAGCACTGCAAAATAACATTAGTGTCATATCAATTCAAAGCTTAAAGATAGATGAAAGTAATTGTTCTATCATTTTGACAATATTTTACACACAAAATAGTCGGATTCACACAAAATATTCTTAAGTAGGATTAACTACTAAGCAAAGTAACCAGGTATTTATGGCATCAAATAAAGAAGATAATAAAAATTTACGCTGTCAGATTAATTATGAATTAATTTGAAAATATGAGTCCACAAAATCTGAGGGTTCAAAAATTTGAAAATTTGATAACTTCTAAATTTCTGAATTTCCGCATTTGATAATAATGATAATAGAGAAAAATTGATGCAATACAGTTACATATGAGAAATGACTTGCAAGGGGTATATGACTTGCAATGGTACCATGCAAAGGGCAAAGAAAAATAATATGTAAAATAAATTTTAGTAAATTTGGATACATTTATTTGTTCCTCTCAATGAAATAAATATTCATTCTCCACAATGAAAATGAAATCTTCCCAGTTCCTTATAAATCTTACATGTTCTATATGAGGTACCATTATTACATCTCACCGTTCTTGGCTCTTTAAATGTACTACCATAATTTCAAAACACAAGCTGTACACAGTTAACTATTAACATACAAACTTTGTTGAAAACAAAACATATTTCTATTTCTGGCAGTGTTCCACATTAGGTGCAGTTACCCTAAGCTTCAAATTGATGTGCCATAAATGTCATTTTAATTACGCCCTGTTCCGAAATCACTAGATATGCAACAATCTAATAAAAATGGAATCAGTTAATTACACAGGTAGGTAATTGTTCTGCGATGCTGAACGTTATCCACTAAATTATTATGGCCTAATCGGAGGTAATAGAATAGGAACGATTGTATACGTTATCTAGTGTGTTCTTCGCACACTCTACTCGTAACAACTTCCTTTTTACATCGAACGGATAGCTTTAGACATTTTGCCAAAGAAATTTAACGAGTTTTTTACAACTTCGAGTATCTTTCCCCGGGGATTAAACAGGTTTCTTATCTGCTTGGGTCTATTAACGCGGCTGGACCGCGATTTATCAAGTTGTTTTGCAACGACGATATTTTCACACGCCAACCTCGTCATTGTTCCGCCTTCCGGATCAGCGGAAATTAAAGTCGCGCGGCGAATTCAATCTGAACCCGATAACCATAATACAGCCGACAATGCATGAATTTCGTTTTTACGTAACACGTATGTCATTTTTTGACGTGACATGAAATCAACCGTTGATTTCGTTCCATATATCAAAGAGAATTCCAAGTGCACGTTAAATCTGCACGAATTTCCTTGAACGTGTATTTTTTGTTGTTTTATGTTGACACTATTTAAAATATTAGAAATTTTTTGATAAATGCATTTTAATTGACAAATTTAAAAATATGAGACCATCGAAAAAATTCAACGTTTATATGAATCAGTTGTTGACCATAATAATTATTTAAATGACAACAACTTTACAATTTTTTAAATCTCTGACAACTACTGCAAACTTCAATTTTTATGTTTGAGAATTTGTTATAATTTGTCAAATTAAAAAATTTCTCTCTAGATGTATATACCCTAAATTCCTGCATCTAGATTACTATATCATATGCTCCAACAATACATATAAATCACATATGTAAGTCTACATCTATAAATCACTATATGTATACCTATATTAATCATGAAACTGCAACGAATAAAAAATGGCAAATATTACATTTAAAAAATAAACAATATTATGAAAAATAACATTCAATACACAATATACCATCTACTTTTTCTTGCAAATTTTTAATAAAGAAATCAAGTAAAATACTATTATTGAAATAATATAACTCACCAGGGTGGTGTCCGCCTAAGTGAGGTTCTTAACCAAGAATGCCTTCCTATAGTTGAATTGGGGCTCCTCGGATTTCTATTTAAAACAGAATCAATAAAAGTAGAATTAAAAATAATGATATACAGTATTTACTAATGACATTATATTATCGTGTAAGTATTTGCAATTAATGTAAACGTTGTCTTGTAACTAATTAGTTTCTTTACCTCCATTCGCGTATAAATATGCCAGATAAGAGACTTGTATTTTACAATTGCATACAACACAATTCTATTCAATATCGTAGCATAATACAGCACGAGGGGAAACAATCGAAAAGTATACATAAGTACATTATAATTACAAGGCACGTTTTGAAAGTTTAAAGATAATCGCATGTAGGAAGTAAAATATATGCAATACATTTGTAACGAATATAGAAGAGATTGTAGTAATAATTCCGCTAACTTTTGCAAAGTACAAAAGATACCAGATTCAATTTTCTCTTTTCGCGTGAAAGTTTTTCTACGCATCGGATCAACCTACCGAAGCATTAATTTAATCGTGGGAACAGATCTATACGAATGATAATCATACCAAATGTGGGAAAACTGTATTAAACTCCGAGTTGTAAAATGCAATGCCTATACATGGTTTCGTAAAGCAAACATGTCCGACATAAACGTTAAAAGCAGCGTACATTTCGTTAGAACACTTTTATAAATGCAATAACGAAATTAATAAAGATTCCTTTCATAAAGATTTTGCTTAAAGCAATATTAGAATTTTATTGACAATTCTAGAATTAAATACTGTACTACTTAGAATTGAGTAAGAATACTGTTTGTAAATTTAAAAATTTTATAATACATAAATTTGAAAATTTGAAAATTCACTCCTTCACACTAACCACATAAATGGAAACCATGTATTAAAACTGCACTACAAGCACAATTTCATTAATTCACACATATTCATAACGATCAAAGCACCCTCTATTGTTCTCGGAGAAAGCTTGAACTTATCGAATTTGAAATTTGAATTCGTTCGCGCGCAAAGTAACGCCAATGCCTTCGAACCAGTGGTATCAATATCGCGCGGAAAAAACCGTCGATATACAGTTGTATATATAGAAACGAGGCAACGAACTTACCTCAGAGAATTGGTGCCGGTGGGTGAGGGTGCAGAACTGCTACCACCCGGTGAATCCACCCCGTCATCGGCGTCACCTTCGACCGACCCGAAAGCTTCGTAGCTCTCTTCTTCGTCGTTTCTGACAGTTTTAACGTCGCACGACGGTGTAGAAGCAGCATCGGTATGTTCAGGACTAGCTGAATAATGGCCAGAATCTTGGAAATTTGGGTTGTCCAGATTCTGCAGGTCGGCCGGCATAGAAAGCGAGGGCGGACCGCTTTGGCTCCATTCGGCAGAAGTTCCGTTTACGCGACCACCCTCGTTCTCTGCGTGATATGATTGCCGGCCGCTCGTTAAGATGGCGTCACCATCACGAGCTACGTCACTGTCGGACACGACGACACGCGATGTAGCCACGCTGTTAGCGGGTGAGACATTTACGCCTGGCGAACGGGAGCTTACCATTCTTCGTTATCGGCCAGATTGGAGACGAAACTCGATGAGGTAAGAAAACAGAGAGAGGGATCACCGAGAGAGAGAGCTCCTTCGATCAGAGGACGCGCCGCACCGGTAGAACCGGTCACTACTGAAAAATGTTCTAATGAGTCACACACTCAAAACGAAAAGAGTAGGATGAATAAGAGGAGGAACGTAACACCGAGATCTTCGTGTTTTATCTCTTTAACATTCTTAGCTGGCGAATGTAACGGTGAATGATTTTTACATGTAACGACACTGCCTATTCTTAGAGAGTAAACGCGTTATGATCTATGTAAATGGGATTTGATAAATATGCCGCGTTACCTATATAGTCACAGTTCGAGAAAAGCGTGAGAATCAAGAACAGGAGTCATGGTACAGTGAGTCAGGCCCAACAACATATGAGAAAAGTCGAAGGAGTCACTTTGTTACGTTATATGTACATCGGTCAAAGTTAACAGATATGAATTTCTTTTTCTTTTATGTCTGATTATTATCATGTTCTTTCTAACAAAGGAAGTATGGATTCCGCACAAATTTTGCATACTTTTAGATGACGAAAATAAAAATTTTGTAAAACTACAGCGTGCAACTTCTCAAAATAAAGGAGAAATTTATATTTACATATTAAAAAAAAAAGATGAATTTGCACCCCCTGGATTTGTAACCTACCCCGCTACAATACAATTATGATTCCGTGCTCTTCTAAATCTTTCTTATTTTGGAGAACTGTTCGCTACGCATGCGCAAAATCCTTACTTTTGGCGTTCTTGATAATTATGCAAAGTTTGAACCAAATCAGTGCGTGATTTGCATCATACGCTCCCTTTGTAATAAAAAGATTATTTTGGAAAGTAGAGGAAATGATTGTATCGTGACTTCCTCAATTTGGCGTTTTATTTTAACTTTCAAATATTTGTTGAAAATCGAAATGAACTATTAATTTACAAGCAGGGTCTCCACTTCTGTAAATCATCCAAAATTAAAAATAAAATACTAAAAAAAACGGGAAAATGTTTTCTTATTCACTTTATAATTAGAGAAATTTTAGGTGTAGAGGAAGGTTTCACTATTCTTATATATTAGAGTACATGAGATTTACCATATGTTATGTTTAGTTTGCATGTACTTCTTATCAGAGTTATAAAAATATAATTATAATACTGATTTGAAAAATGTTAAGATCAATTTAAAAAACGTTAGCAACTTTTAATTATTAAATATTATAAAATTTAATATGTAACTTCTATTTAATTTATTATATTTAATATTTATTAAATATTTATTAAATATTATTTATTATATTTAATATGTAACTCGCTATATTTGTAATAAATATTAAATCAAATTTTTCCGAATAAATGTTTAAAACACAAATGTCTTCTTCCCCTACGTCATCATTTTCCTTAGAAAATACAAGTCTTGTAATAATACAAAAGAATGATTAATTGAAAATAATAAAACAAAGCATGATTATACGTTGCTCACTGAATCATTTTTGCATGAAACTTGAAACATCAGAATAAAGTCAAACAGTTATTAAATATTAATTTCATCTTAATTAAATCCGAAATTAAAATTAACGAAACAGATTTATGGTTTTGAATTAAACAATCTCAATCATATTTAATAGTTACAAAATATAATCGTTACATGTTTTGTTCTGCTTAAGTTTCTAATACGCATTAGATATGAAGGGTGTAAAACACAAATCCCGTTTACTTCGATATATGTTACTTTATCGGATGCTATTAATATAATCGATTTTCATACTCGTGCAAAATGCACTTGACAAGTTCGCACACAGTAAGCGAAGCCATATTAATTTAAGGCAGTCAACGAGATAATCGTTAAAACTCATCATCCGCTAAAAGCGCATTTTAATAATCGTGTTATTATCGAATATCACTGCTCAAAACACAGCCAAAATTTTCTCCTTTGAATCCATCTAATTTGCTAATTTTAAAATATCTGTTGCAACGTATAACATGCTTTTTTCCAGCAAAAATATAACCCAGATGATAATACATATCCCCGCTATATTGTTTCAAATGTGAAATACATCTTTTATTTACAAGAAAGCTATCCACTTCCTGTGTTCTATTTTTATTTTAAATACATTTGTAACATGAAAATAGTTCATGTCTAGTCCATTGTATGACGTAAAACGTGTACTATTTTTATTAAACGATATAAATGACATAATAATGTGGTCAATAATCCTATATACGTATCTTATAGACATTTTGTACCAGTTCATTATTTTACCGTTGTTACGTTGGTAACTAAGATTTGTTAAACGCGCATGCCGCGAGCGACAGATACATCGAATATTTATCTCATTGCAATGTTTCGTTTATAAACCAACTACGTAATTATATTTAAATTTTTATATGTACGAAAACCAGAGTCTAACCTACATGACTTTAACGAAATTTCTCGGTATATCCATTATTTATTTATTTGCATCGGCGCGTAAATAAATAGATAAATTTTAGTTCGGATAAAAATGTACAATATATTGACATTATCGCGACTATTTACGAAAATTATCCGTAAGATAATTAACGTTTTGGTTTCCAGGTACTTGTCACTCGGAACGGAATGCGTGGATGCGTTTCGAATCGCAGGGAGATTCCAGGACGCTATTTAGAGCAAGCTCGAAAGTGTAGACGAAGTATATTTTAGCGCTCAACAACGTATAATACCTTAACCTTAATTATAATGGGATGAGAGTATCATTAACTTTGACGCTGATCAAACACAGTTTTGCTTAATCCGGATAATGTCTACTTGGTAGTAGCGTATCAACATAAACATTTGGCATTTTAAAATTCTAACCATTATTCGCTATAATACGTTGTACATGTACAGAATACCATTTACTTTACAAAAGATAAATATTTCCTTGTCGATCAATTGATACTTTAAATACATTCATTTTCAAATTTATTGCATATTAATTATTTACCATTGTCAACAACTTAATACCATTCGTTAGTATTGAATTTGAAAAAAAGCGAGAGTAAGGATGACAATAAACTTAGTATCATATCGTTCGATGCAGTTTTATATAATAATTGTAGGATGAAGTTTGAAAAAAGACATTTCCTTAACATTATTGGCCGAACGTTGACTCACCTTGAACCGAACAATAGGTAACCCCAAAGAAATTCGGACACCGAGATATTCTTCAGTTTCGAATAATCAATTACAATCAAACGAACAAGTCAATTACAGCCGCTTCAACGCGGAAGGTACAGAGCATGGAAAAAGAGACAAAATCCGAGGCAGATGCACCTTCCTAACTGTCACCTAAGATAAACACCTGTACACACCAAACCACGATCTAGTAGACGCATATAAAAAAAACCGTCACAATAATAGCGTACTTGTCGCAACAGACAGATGTACCCGTCAAAACAAAATAGTTAAACAAATGTCGAATTTCAAACGGCAGACGGAACGAACACAACGATCTCGTGGCAATCGTGGACAAACTAAACGAAAGCACGACTGAACCATAACGCGAAAACGATCAGCCGAGAGGAGCCATAGCAGGTACGCATGCGCAACGAAACAGGAATGTTCATGAATACACGAATACAATTACTATACCTATACACACCACGCTAAACATCACGGTCGTACCTACAGGTACGAGAAAGCACCAGTGTCTCTCAAACTATGGAGCGTTGACTTATTTAAATTTGGTTAAGGTTAAGACTAGGGTGACCATTTAGTTTCACCGTGAATTCTGTACAGAAATAGCGATTGGTTGTAAAACAGAAAGGTTGTGAAACAGAAAGGTTAAAGCGTTAAAATAAATGCAAACATATTTTTTCAATTATTTAGAATAAAACTTAACGATCTAAAAATCGGTGTAACTTAAAACTTTTTAAATGAAACTGTGAATGTGATTCAACGTACGAACGTTACGGTTGATATTTTAATTCGAGAGCGTCATGATGAATGCAAGTCAATTTTCAAGTTCTCAAAATTCCAAATTTCTCATTCCGCAAATTAGCATTAATTATTTTTATTTAAATTCTGTAATTTCCAAATTTCTAAATTTGTAAATTTCCATAAGCTTAAATTTTGAAATTTTCATTTTTCCAAATTCCTGACTCTCAAAATTCCTAAATTATCAAATTTTTATATGTAATAAATACAGAAATTTTATTTCTACCTCGCTACGGTCTACGCACACAATTTTTTAAATCAATTTAAATGCTTAAAAATTAGTACGAATGGTCATCCTAGTTAAGATCGTTTATTTTCCACGTTTTTCAAACCTATTAGTTGTTTCGTTAATTTTCATAAATGAAAATTAGTAAACTCTAACTAGTTCCGAAAAACACTCGTTTGTATCATCATTAAAAATAAGTACTTGTTTTTACGTTTTTTTATGATGTAGTAACTTCATCCGAATTTTTCTTATAAACCTCTTTATAAACTAATTCCTGCATTTGCATTCTGAGCAGCATCCTTCTATCTGCAGGTAATGCTCTTATGTGAGGTAAAAGACTCATAAGGAAATAATAATTGTCGTCGAAACGGTTGCCTTCTAAAGGATCTACCGGGAGGCCAATATTAGTATCACTGTCGCCTATCAACACTTGTTCAGGGGAAATATTTTGTAACATCATTTCGTTTTCAGTTAAATTATCGGAAACACTTTGGAACTCGAGATTGTCAAAGTTTTCTTCAGGTTCTTGTTTCACGTCTATATGATTGACACTGTCGATCTTTAATCCGTTGTCGTTATTCATCGACAGTAGATGATTTGCAATCGAGTTACGGTCGTCAACATTTCGATTTGACACCGACGAACTTTTCAGCATCAGTCCATCGCCTTCACCTTCGCTTGGTACTCGATCGTCATCTTGACAAGGATTACTTCGCTCCCAAATCGGAGGACGAGGTAACATTTGTTCCTTTAAAAACTGTAAACTTTTGAAATGTATCCATACCGGCCTATTTCGATGAAATTTACTTTTACGATAAACTTGGTCCTTTTTTAATTCTGCCCGAAAAGTGTCCCGTAAACCTTTCCACTTCGCTTTTAACACTGGTTCTGAAAAGATGTGAGAATAATTAATCTGTTCAGTTATAACGTTGTAATTCGTGAGCTTCGACCGAATGGGTAAAATAAATTATATTTTTAACCGATACCTCAGACCGCCAATACATACTGTCAATACTTTTTTATATTTTTTGTATATTGACAATATGTATTTAAATAAAAACGAATAATTTACTAAATAACTATCATAAAATACAAATAATGATTTCAATAGCAATACAAATAATGAAAGCCATTCATAAACGTGTTACGTTAGTTAAAATTTATTGACTGTGCTTACGCGCATGCGTCTGTCAGTAAACAGCCCATACTTGCAATTTAAATGTACTTGTGCATTAATACCGTAAATAGCAGCAAATTGTAAGTTATCGATAATTCCTAGATTAAAATTTTACGCGACTATAAATTTTCTACATTAAATTAAATATATAAGTTGATTAAAATTATAATATATTTTAAGTCATGATAATGTAAGAAAGTGAGGTTAAGTAAGGTACTACCCATACAGGCGAGTAAAACTGTATAACATTATGCCTTTTAGGAACAGGTAGCATCTATAACTTTTAAATAAACGTTATATACATTTTCGTGTCAAAATTAAAGAAAAAATCATAATATAGAAATTTCTTTTAATCATGAAAAAAGTGTTGTATATTTTATAACAGAATAAAGTTCAAAACTAGCAAACAGATACGCAATAAACACTTTGAACAGTCTTCTTATAAGTATATAACTAAAAATACATAATTGACAAAAAATTATTTGTATTACTGATGATAATTAGAATAATTGGTGTCAAATAAGAAAAATCGTGCGAGGTAAAATAAATTGGGAAATTTGCGCGCGAATAGCATGAATAACGTGATAAACGATTTCATCGGTGCACCTACTGGGCAATTTGAATATCGATGCAATCTCCATCCAAACGCGGTTCGTCACTTCGCGATTGTGATAAGAGATATGCCTTTGGTTCCAAAGTGCTGGCCGCTTATATACTTCGGCGATTAGCCGATTCGCATCCATCTTCACTTCGTCTCTCATATTTATAAATTAAATAAAATAAAAAGAAAGAGCGAGTCTTTGCGATTTTTTGACAAGACAAAAAAACACAGTATTAGCTTGTCAATCCGATAGGAACAAAGTGCGGGCGAATACTAGCCGCTGGGATAGCGATTAGCGCGCAGGACGCTCTCCGGTAACGATCGATTCGCGTTTCGCCCTCATCTTGCCCTTGCTAGCGCGAGTAACTTCATCTTTCGCGTTTCATAGGTGGGGTAACTTGTCATTTTGTGTTGACTACGCGATGAAATTTGTAAACCTCAAATTCCTCAATTTCTACATTTTCAAAAATCGGAAGTTACGAATTTCTGAATTCCAAAATTCTTAAATTTCTGTATTCTGAAATATCTAAATTTCCAAATCCCTAAATTCTTAAATTCTCAAATTTCTAGATTTCCAAAGATCTACACTTGCAAATTCCAAAATTCTCAAATTTTTTAATTCTTAAATCACTAAATTTCTAAAGGCATGAGTTTCCAAATTGTTAAATACTCAAATTCCTTAATTTTTATAACTTAAATTGTCTATAACAGAAATATCTGTATTATACAATTTTAATGTATTTCAATTTATTTAAATTGTAAAAAAATGACACTCAAATATCTTTTTTTGGCAATTACTTCTTGTTCATTACTTCTTGTAAAATTATTAATTACTTATGATTTGCATACCTTTAGTTGATTAAATACATAAACAGTATGATATCACATTATTAAATTAATAGACACTTTTTTTTTTCAAATCCATTAAAATATATTATTTATATAAAGCTACTAATATGCAGATTCTAAAATATTTATTTTGTGAGAATACTTTTTAAAAAAGATCAGAAGGACATTTCTTCTCATAAAAATTTTGCAAGAACATACTTTTATTAACAAAATGTACCAATTTAAAAACAGAATTTTATACTTACAAAACATGTGAATATTGTACTTACCGATAAAACTGTTGTTACTGAAAATAAAATAGTACATTAACGATAATGTTGATATAACGTAGGAATATACGTAGGAATTTAATATGCCATATTTAAATGTACATCATGAATTGTATCACCTTTTCATAAATTGTTTTCTGTTTACTAAAGAGGTGTTTATATAAATTTTGGAATTTGAAACTTTGAAAATGAAGAAATTGGGAATTTGAAAATTTTTAAATTTACATATTTAAAAATTTAAATTTAGCCAAATGAAATCTATCTAGAACTTAAATGTACATATATATGTATATATATATACATAATTCAAAATAATGTATGCTTAAACATTTCAGAAATTTAACAAAATGAAGGATTTTGAGTTAATAGCACAGGGTGCTGAAGCTCGTGTGTACAAAGGTGTTTACTTAGGAAAACCAACATTAATAAAAGAAAGATTTGCAAAGAAGTATCGACATGCTGATTTAGATACTCGCCTTACAAAAGACCGAATAAAAGCCGAATGTCGCGCTATAGTTAGAGCGAAAGCGGCGGGTAATTAAAAGGAATAATACAATGATACCATTTTATTTTAAAAGTACATATTTCAATTTATTTTTTTTTAAGGAGTAGCAACACCAGCCATATACTTAGTAAATTTAGACAGACGGTGTATTTATATGGAATATGTAGAGAATGCAATAGTATTAAAAGATTTTATTGATAAAAATATTTCAAAGAAGTCAAATGTTGATCATTTAATAAATTTTATAACACAAGGAATTGGAATGATTATTGCACAACTGCATTCAAAAAATATAATTCATGGAGACTTAACTACTTCAAATATACTTGTAAAAGACGTTGAAAATATAAGCATAGAAAACTGTAATGGTATGTCATTATTACAGGTTGAATATAACAATTAGTAATACATTAATAATTAATATTTCTTCATTTTTTAGCTGTAAATAATTTTGTTATGATAGATTTTGGATTAGCTCATGTAGACTCAAGCATAGAAGATAAAGCAGTTGACTTATATGTTCTTGAACGGTCATTACTTAGTGCACATTCAGAATTACCTCAATTATTTACAAAAATATTTAGCATTTATCAAAAGTATTATGCAAATAAAAATCAGTGTAAAGAAATTATTTCTAAATATAATGAAGTGCAGGCTCGAGGACGGAAACGATTAATGATTGGATAACTTCAATCTATTTTATACTTTATTGAACACATCTCTTTAATTACTTTTAGTAATTTATATATGCAAATATTTGAATAAATCAATTTTCTTGTATGAAACTAACAAATTATTTTTTTCTTGTGCGTATCATTGTGAAAGCTTAATTAATTTTTTCATTTCAAATTATTTTTATTGAAATACTAATAATCTTATACATATAACAACTTTATCTTATAATTAAATATCTGTATAAACAATTAGCATTAAAACATAACAGAAAGTTACATTAACATCTAAAACCTATTTTGTACATAATTATTTTACATTTGTTAAAAAAGTAGCTACTACTATTCATATTCAACTATAAAATATTTAAATAGTGGATAAAATGTTAGGTATAAAAATTTGATGAATAGTATATAAAGTATTAAATGTAACTAAATATTGAGCAATATGATTATTAAAATTTTTATTTATATTAATTACCTTTATATGTGTACAATTTAATTTGGCATTTGCAATATGTGTATTTTTATAGTAATGATTTGTGGCACTTATTGAAATTAATGACAGAAAAAATTTTTGTAATAAAAGAGAATTAATTTCTTAAAAAAGATGCTTAAGGTTTTATATACATAAAAATAACTTTCAAATGAATAAATATTTAATTTCATGGAACAAATTATATAGGTAAACACATGACATTTTACAAATAAAAAGTTCTATTGTACATTTATTAAGTGTTCTGAAAGTTTAAAGCCCAAATAACTTATACAAGATGTGAAAATATTTTTTCATCTGTTCAAGATAAATTGCATGAAGCACTTGATTGTTAAAAAATATTGTACAAGTTTTTTTCAGTCTAGTCACCACTGACATCATTGAAATAATTAATCAAAATGTAATCCAGAATATATAATGATCCATGTAACCTACACATAATACTTTCATTGTAAAAATGATAAATATTAAAAATAGGTAATATTAAAAATTAAGTTACCAAAAAACCAGCAAATGATGTCATAAAACCTTCTTTAGTTAATTCCCATATACCACCAAATTCTTCCTCATCAATTTGTTGAAAATTACTAAAATATAGGTACGTAATACCAGCATTGACTAGTACAAATCTGAAATAACAAATTTCCAAATACAATTATATTTATATTATAATTGTATGTTATTCAACATATGAAAGACTGACATCTATAGTGGTATTACTTACATTTCAGTTTCTTGCAAAATGATATTTGGAATTTACTGTTATAAAATACTTTATATAATATGTAAGTATAACTTTATTGGTAGGTTGAGCACAATAAACAAACAAAACAGTTTATGTAACTCTTTTTTTATCTTAATTTGCTATACCCATCAATGAAGTTATGCCCACCAGTCCTAAAACACTCTGTATAATATAGTTGTGTGAACATATATATTAGCTCAAACATTATCACAGTATGTATATGTTTTAGAAATTATGAAACAACAAATGTTATACTATTTAAAAAAGAATTAATTTGCCAAGCTGGAGTTATACTATTACATTTATAAACATTTAATTGAGAAATATAATAAATACAATTTTTTAAATACTTTCTTCCAAAAATATAATAAAAATAGCATTTATAGCTAAAAAGTTAGCTATAATTAAAATACACAATTTAAGAAAATAATTCTTAATTAAGTTTTAAAGAATGAAATTATAATTTAATTATAATTAAATGAAAGTGGATGGATCCTTTAACACTTGTAAAATGTTGTTAACTGAATTATCAAAATATAAACTTTCACCACCATGAATTTCAATCTCCCATATGTCAATGTAAAAATATATGTAATTACAACTTACAGTAATAAAGCTATGAAACCTTTTAAAGGTATAAGGCCCCATGCTATACCAACAATAATTCCAATTACTTGTCTAGCCCAATATATAACGTCAAGAAATTCTTCCTATAATAATAAAAAATATGCAGTGGAAAATAAAAATAAGAAATTGTTTAATTAAAGTGTGGTTATGTTTACTTTATCTGGCCATTCGGAATTTGCTGTTATTGCACGTGTCCAAACACTTAATTCACATTTGCCACCGTTTCCTATCTTTTCAGATTTCGAACGCGACATTTTTACACCTTCTCAACTTAATGTAATGAAATATATTATAAAACTTCTTAGCATTTCCTAACTAGAGATATCATACTCAATTTATTCTCCTAAATGTTCTCTTTTAGTGCTACACCTGTAACTCTTGAATTATGGAAATGTGCTAGATTTTGTATGTACAACTTTTCACGCACGCGCATGAAGATATTTAATTTAAAAAAGGGCTAAGAGTAAAAAATACATTTGCCAGGATACGTGTCCAGCCAAAAGTAAAACTCGTGCAAGAAGCGGAAATTCTTTCTCGCAAATATGTAGGAAATACAGATACGTTATATATTTCGTTCCGCAGATCATATCTTTTGGACGATGAGTTTTCGTTTATACTGCGCATGTCGACTTTGATTGGTTACAATTCAGTAAACAACAGCCTGGCGCAAGCGCCTTAAGTATCGCCAGTTATGTATACCGAGTGGGCAAAGGTTTCACAGATTTCAATTCTTATTAAACAAAATATTTTCTCTATATACAAAATTCTTTTAACAAGTTATGCTACGTGAATATCTTAAAAAATTAAATACAATATTTCTTTTATCTTGTATTGTCCCAACATCATTATCTCTTCCGGTTATTTATGTACATATTTTTGTTCACCATGTATAACGACCAAGAAACTGGAACCGAAAAGTAGATTACACAAAATGGTGGGGAACCTTTTGAACTTAGCTGAAATGCGTAAATTAATTAAGTATGATCTTCTGTGCTACAAAGTACAGTAATATACTCCTAGATTTATATGACCGACCAATGAATAAAAAATATATAGTTATTTTTTTCCTGCAAAATATTCCCCACTACCTGCTTTCACAGTATGTAGTCACTGGATGAGTAGATACAAATTTTTATAATCACCATTTTATTCAAATTTACATTCAAATGCAATTAAAAAATGGTAGTTATAAAATTTGTATCTATTTCAAGAATTACAATAAATTTTGTATATAGAAATAATTTCATACATATACTTATACATACATGAATAATTACACATAAATAAATATAATTTGTAAGTGGAATAAAAAATTCACAAATAAAATTTAAATTCCAGTAAATACTCCTAAATGACTATAAACGTGTAAATATATTAATGTGTAATATCACATTTTATATAATAACTACTAATTCAGTATTCAATTACAATGTTAAATATTATGCACTATTATTGTGGTAACTATAGAATTAAGTATTGCGCACTAATAACTGTATAATTTCTTATAATTTATTGATAGCTAAGAAGTAAAAATATTTAAAAAACGAATTGTTTCTTATAGAAAAGGTTAGACGCAATTTATTTTCTGCTTAAATATACAAAGTAATTATTTTCATATTAGGTAAGTGTAATTACTGATTCTACATTTAAATTATAAAACAAAAGTTTTATGAAATTTGTAGTAGTTACATTATTAAATATTAATATATTTTTATAACAATACTCTTTCTCATTATCCTATTCATGTACTATTACAAGAAATGAAAATACCTAAAAAAGATGAAATGTGTTAATAGAATTTGAAATTTTACATTACAATTTTCATATGAAAATCATTTACAAAGAATTTTGTAACTACATGTAAAATTTTGTAATAATATTATGTAAACAATATGTGTTCGTATAACGTAGACTTTTTTTACATAGTGCAAAAACATTAAAGAGACAATTAATACGCCTCAATTTACAATGTATATTGTTAACAATAATGTAGCAGTAAGTTTGTTGTACAATGTTGCAGCCGAATTCATATTGTAAACTAATGTAATATGTTATTAGAATAATAGAAATTACCACTAATTATATCCAGACAAAAGTAAGATAATGAAATACTTTGAGTAAAAATATTGTTTGAAAAATCACTAAAATCTTAGATTATTATTTTATGATATTAAACAATAAAATATATGTATGTAAAAAATTACTTTTTAATAAAAGGAACAAGACTGAACTGTACTTAGATATTAAGTTTTATGTATATAAAAAGTGTAAACAACTCTTCCATATTATATCATGAAATAAAATATTCTGTCGTGAGAGGAAAGATAGAAAATAATTTATGCCTCTTTTCTGCAATAAGCACTGGAACAGAAATTTTTTATCAAGTCCATTTTCAAACTATTAAAGGACAATCTTAAATCTCAACACAATCCTCCTCCTGTTTGTTGTTGATAAACTTCTATTGTATCTCCTTCTTCCATTTCAAGGGTTGTTGGGGTATCTAATTCATTTATAGGTTGTCCATCAAATCTAAACCTTACTGCTGCTATTGCCAAGCCCTATGAAGACATAAAGATTATCACTATTATTATTACAATAACAACCAAGTGTTTAGATTATACATAACATGAAAATTTCGAAATGATTTATACCAAATTGTATTAATATAAAATAGTGTATGCATAACTTATCTTATAACAAAATCTAAAAACAAATTATACTCAAACTTACCACACGATCACAGTAGGCATTCATTAATTTCCTTAGTGGTGTGTGTTTTTTTATTTTAAATTGAACCACTGCACTATCCTGGCCCAGAACTTTTAGATTTATGTGTTCTGATTCTGTTTTAGTTTCCTATAACGAAGTATACTCTTGTATTATCACTTAACATTGCAGCAACAGTTTTGAGGTTATAGAGCGTTACCTTCTTTTCGTCCGACATGTTTACAGTTTACCACAAATATATTATGTTATCACTGATTAACAATAAAATTTTCACGAATGAATTATCAGTTTAAATGTAGGGTCTCTAAACGTTTATAAATAAACGTATAAACGAATAACTCGCAATAATCCCGCTCCTACCTTTATACCTATAATCACAACGTTTCCATCTTACACAAGTGGTATAGTATTGTAGAAAGTTATTGGTACACACGCGTTTTAAAAACCTAGCATTTAATGACTAATGTCTTCTAGGAAATTTTATTATTCAGTTTTGGTACTTCTAACTTTTTCTATAATTTAGCGAAAAATGGATATCGCATCAATTTAAAATTGTCTATATAAAGATAAAAGATAACACTCAATTACTTTAAACATTGCGTTTGAAAATTTATAGTTATTTTTATGATACTTAGAGAGCTTGAATCTTGTTGCACATAACTAACAATTTTAAAATAGCGAACAATACTGAATCAAATATAATTTAAATTATTGTTTCAAATTATACTTGAAATGTTATTGTATTTAATGTTTATCCTACTTTCGTTTATGAAAAATTATGAAAACAATGCAATATATAAATGGAATAATTCAAAACTTTAAACTAGAGCTCAAAAATTATTTTGTATTTGCATCTTATAGAATAAGATCACTTCGTACTTCTATAATTAATTAAAAATAATATTTCGTGCAAGTTAAAACTAGTACATATTTTTTAATCTAAATAATTTATGAAAAATAAATACCTAAAAAATTTTGAAATAATAAATTTAGTATAACACAAGTGTTCAAAAACGGAGTTACTAATTATAATATATTAAAAATGAGAAGGGATGATGAAATATTTAGGTGCTATAAAACAATTTTATGTTAAGTATGTGAATTTGAATGAAAGTTCCGTTCGTGTTAAGTATTTGTTGGCCCTGAAAAGGACCGTTTTTTGGAAGAGATAAGAGTTATCCGCTTATTTGGAGCTGGTGTATTTGGTTACTGCTTTGGTGCCTTCACTAACTGCGTGTTTTGCCAATTCTCCAGGTAACAGAAGACGTACTGCAGTTTGGATTTCACGAGATGTAATTGTTGATCGTTTGTTATAGTGTGCCAATCTCGACGCTTCGGCGGCAATGCGTTCGAAAACGTCATTGACAAAACTATTCATGATACTCATAGCTTTACTGGATATTCCAGTATCAGGATGGACTTGCTTGAGTACTTTATAGATGTAAATAGCGTAACTTTCCTTCCTCTTCCTTTTCTTCTTCTTATCAGTTTTACTGATATTCTTCTGAGCTTTACCAGCTTTCTTTACAGCTTTACCACTGACTTTTGGCGGCATGGTAATACTCGATGTCTTTAACTTTCGAAAAGAGAATCGTATGTATTTACTAAACGCTTGCTAAACGCTGAGTGTGCCATGCATCAGTTCCGTGCCCCTTTTATGTAGCAAGCTGCTACCTGCAGCGCACCAATCAGGAGCCAGCATAGTGCCGCTCATGCTTTCCTGCAATGCGATTGGTGCGGCGGAACTACTATTGCGTTCTTACAGCTCCATTGATTTTGCGCGTACAACGAATTTAATGAATTTTTGTAGTTCTTTCTTTATAAATTATAAATTTAATTAACATATTATTTTAACACGTTATTTTTTTATGTTATAAAATTTAATGTATTTATGTACATAGGAAAGTAATCTACATACTGTTGTAATTTTACGAATATACAATACTACAAATTTGATTTAATTCAAAAATGAATATGTTATAATAACTTAGAACGCTATAATCAGAAGTATTTTAGAAATGTTTCTGATATTATATTAAAATATAGAAAAAATTTAGTGGAAGGCGTTTTAAAAGGAATAGTGAGATCCTTGAGGACCGCGACTAATTTCATCTTTTCTATCGCGTTTAGGAAAAGATACGGGGCGATAGTTTGTAGATGATATTAGTTTACGAAGAAAGTAATATCTATAAGAAAGATATTTAAGGATACATCAATACAACCTTTTTATAAAGCAAATAGAAATGTATTCAAGAATTTTTTAATAAAAATAAAGAAAGAAAACACTTATTGCAAATAATGTTTATTTCGAATAAAAATTTGTTTGAAAATGGGTTTATAGTTTTGATGTTCTGTTATATTTTTGTTCACTTTTCACAATAAAATAATCTTAAATAAATTGCACTTTTTCTGAAAGTGAAATTGTTGAAGAGTCTATCAATAACCCTTTTTTTAATTTCAAATCATATTAAAAAAAACTATTGTTAATTGAAATTTAGAGTTTTGTATAAAATAATATATGTATACAATATTTGACATTAAGCTGCATTTTGTTAGATGAGTAAAAACGTGCTGAAGTTCTAGAGAATAAATCTTTATTTAAATAATAATCAGTAAGCATAAATTTAGTTTGTTACAACATGGTATTTATAAATGTATTCCTACTCTGAAATTTATATTATTGCATACAAATCCTTGGTAAGCGATGCATTTGTTGAAAAAATACCATAAGCGACATCTCGCTGCTCAAGATAAAAAGCGATATTTCCAGGTACTCCAAAACGTTTGTTTTACAAACTATACTTAGAAGAAACAATTATTTTAAACGAAATACAACAAATTGAACAAATATTAAAATGTTTTTCTATCAATATGTAAATTTGGCATAAAAAAATAAAATATGTAAAATATTAAGCTGAAAAAAACATTTTCATTGACAAAAATAAAGTAATGAAAGGAATAGAACATTGAGTTGCATCGCCGCACCAATCAGGAAGCTGCTTGTCGCCCATTGGTCGGAACTGGCTACCTCTATATGGCATATAAAGGATGCTGAAAGCATTCAGGTACATTCATTCTCAATCGCTCGAGGTTGAAACTTTCTCTCTTCATAGCAATTCGATTTTCTGTTGTCAAACTGCAAAAATGTCTGGCCGTGGAAAAGGTGGCAAATCAAGGTCGAAGGCGAAGTCGTCCCGTTCTTCAAAAGCTGGACTTCAATTTCCCGTTGGACGGATTCACCGACTTCTAAGGAAAGGCAATTATGCTGAACGTGTTGGAGCCGGCGCTCCAGTATATTTGGCTGCAGTTATGGAATACTTAGCTGCTGAAGTTTTGGAATTGACCGGCAATGCAGCTAGAGATAACAAGAAGTCCAGGATCATCCCACGTCATGTACAACTTGCAATTCGTAACGACGAAGAATTGAACAGATTGTTGTCTGGGGTTACCATCATTCAAGGAGGTGTCCTGCCAAATATTCAAGCAGCTCTTTTGCCCAAAAAGACTGACAAGAAGGCATAAAGCATCTTTCCAAAATGGCCCTTTTTAGGGCCACAAATATTTCAAACAAAGGAATTTCTCTTGGATTCATTTTTCAAATACTTTTCGAATAATTTTAAATGTAATTTTACTATAAACGTAGTTGTAGTCAGCTTAGAAGTTACAAGAAGTTTAAATATCAATACTTAATTTTATTGTTACTCTCGTACATATTTTTATATTAGAGTTAATGGAAATAGTCAGAAATTTACGCATACAATTTTATTTATTTCAATTTAACGTTAGAACTGATTTACATTTATGAAACAGTAAAAGTTTATTTATTAAACAGTTGAAATTAATCTTTAATTTTTAGAAAAAGAATTTAATTTTCAAATTATAGAATATTGTTCTCAGTTTTAGTAGTAGTTATTTAAATATATTTAAAAATTTAGTAAAAATTTTTTAACAGTATTATAAAACGTTAATTTTGATCCAACGTGCAATATTAAAATGGAACTCTACAACAGTAGTGCAATAATTTTGAGCAATGTATTTATTCAATGCTGTATTTTAAGACTAAATAGCAGCAGCCAATATGCTGAACCGCTCTTCAGAAAAGTAAGGTTGGCCTGCGTATTATCCCAAACTTTTTTTCATACAATATGGTCAGCGACTCGTCATAAACTACTCTAACTTGATCCTTTAACCATAGAAATGGATGTTGCCAACGGGTCGGTCCTGTTTGAAAATTGTAGGGTCCTGGTCTTTGTGAGAAACCTTTCCCGGCCGATGACGGTTGAGACTGGTGACACATAAGCGTTGAAAATACATCCGTTAGACCGAAATTTTAAAAAGTACAGTTGTGCATATACAAAATACACTGAGATTTTGTCCAATGGACATATTTTTAACGCTTGTGTGCTTCCAATCTAAGAATGTTTTCGACTTTCGGAAACGGGAAAAACTTAATGTTTAGGACGCGGTATTCTTTCGATATGAAACGCTGCATTATAGGATTTAATGTGTATTGTTACTGAAACTTTGATAAATATGTACAATACTCAACAATAAGACTTATAAAATTGCGCGTAAAATCCTATAAAGATTGCTTTTTCTTTCTAAAAGATGCAGGGTCCTAAAAACTACCGAGTTGTTACTTTTATGGAAAGTAAAAGTTTGTGGATCAGTACATTGTATACATACACCTTGTTATTGGGGTTTCATATAATTCAATTTCTTGAATGATGATATAGCACTTCAATGAGCAGGGTAATGACTACTCGCAAAGTGTTTGCAAATTTTCATAAATCAGTTTAGAGATACCACACTATTCAAAAAATATGCTTCTATTCAGCAAACTTAAGAAGTCATCAAGTATTTAAACAGCATAATTTAATGCTCTGCTATTAAAACTGATCATAACAAAAGTTTCTTTCTACACTAATTTATTGTTAACATTCTAAAAATCAGAAAAATAAACTTTTCAGAATTTTTATATAATAATTTTCATTATATTTTTGTATAATTATTAACATATGTCATGTTTTATCTTACGTATTTAAGACATAATGTGCTTGAATATAATTTTCTGAGAACTGGCAATGTGTTTAACAATGGAAACTATAGCGTTCCCAGTACCTAATATTTGATGCCGAAAAGTTGAAGAAAGAATGTGTGTTATAAATCGATTATCTAAAAATGATCTTTTGAAGAATTAACGTACAAAATTTTTGTTACCAAATGTCAAAAGACAGAATGTTAATCTACCTAATATTTCGAATGTCTGTCGCCTACTGATTGCATCATGCTATGATGCACATTCTTTCCTTTACCATAGCTCTGATTGGCTAGTGAGCAGATGTGCAGTACAGAAATCGCTTCCCATTGGGCGGCTATAGCATAGCATAAACTCGACGACCGTGCATCGTGTAATGATTGTGATTGGTTCGTAGCAAAGTAGTGGGGAGGGTCGACGTTTTCTATATAACGGCCGACGAAGGCTTCAAACGGCACATTTGGCAAATTCTGCCATAGTCTTCCAGTACTGTATTGTAAACAAGCGTTTTCATTATGACTGGCCGTGGAAAGGGAGGAAAAGGATTGGGAAAAGGAGGAGCAAAGAGACACAGGAAGGTACTTCGTGATAATATCCAAGGTATTACGAAGCCTGCTATCCGTCGTTTGGCACGACGTGGAGGAGTTAAAAGAATTTCCGGCTTGATTTATGAAGAAACTCGAGGAGTTCTAAAGGTTTTCCTTGAAAACGTAATTCGTGACGCTGTTACTTACACTGAACACGCCAAGAGGAAGACAGTAACTGCTATGGACGTGGTTTATGCTTTGAAGCGTCAAGGAAGAACTCTTTATGGATTTGGCGGTTAAATTCTGCTGCTGAAACATTAAACCAAACGGCTCTTTTCAGAGCCACAAATCTTTTATACAAAGAATTTCTCGCAGTTCAGCAACAATTAATATTCACATATATAATTTAAACAGCAATTTATTACAACGAAATTTTGATTGCCCATTCTTAAAAGTATTTGATTTCCGGTATCTGATATTTGTTTATCTATTTCCGAAACGTCTTTGTTCTCATAATGAATTGCTGCATAGAAAGTCGTATTCATTAGATGACAAATTTTAGTTCATTCTAAGTTGTGATTAACTGAGTCAGATAATCAAAGAATTGTATTCATAGAAGTTAGCAAATGATAAAAAAATTAGAGATTAGTATAGTATATTAATATTAATTTTGGCTTATGTAACTTACGACGTAGTAACATGTTTGTGTATTGTATATAATTTGACAATGTATTGTACAAAACTGTTGTATAGATTCACACGATACAGGCAAGTGTTTTAAACATTTTTAATTGCCAATATATATTATATATTTATTACTATCTTGACATTGTTCCAGTAAACCGGTTTTTTATAAATTTAACCTATCAAACTTTATACAACCAACGTACAGGATGTCTACAGATACAAAATCCATGGAAGAAATAAAATCTATTTTAAAAAATATGTATTTTGCCGGTATTAAAGCAGTTTCACCTAAAACTCTTATACTAAATAAAGTGAAAGTTGAAAATGGAATATTACATGCTGGAGATGAAAGGTTTGAGCTTAAAGAAAATGTTTATTTGATTGGTTTTGGTAAAGCTGTGATGGGTATGGCAATAGTTCTTGAATATATGCTCAGTGATTGTTTAAAGAAAGGTATAGTCAGTGTCCCTTCTGCATCCACAGATGCAATGTGGGAATCTGAAGATAAATCGTACTTTCCTAAGTTAAAAACTACTGTGGTAGAATATCGTGAGGGTAGTGTAAATAATCAGCCAGATGACAGAGTTCTAGACACGACTCATGATATCATAGATTTAGTAGAATCTTTAACTGAAAATGATACTTTAATTGTGTTGATATCGGGAGGAGGTTCTGCACTACTTTATATGCCACGACCAACTATTGATCGTGATGATAAATTACAGCTTTGTAAAATGGTTCAGAATGCAGGGGCTGATATTAGAGAAGTTAACATAGTAAGAAGAAAATTATCTATGGTTAAAGGTGGTGGTTTAGCTCGAATGGCTTATCCAGCTTCTGTTATTACGTTGATATTATCAGATATTGTAGGTGATCCTATAGATCTAATTGCTAGTGGTCCAACTGTATATAACAACAAAGCACCAAAGGATGTAATAAATGTATTAAAAAAGTATGATTTATTTCAAAAAGTAGAAAGTGATCTAAAAAAAGTGATAACATCTAAAGAAACTTTTAAAGACCGTCCACTATTAGCTGGAAGAAAAAAACAATTTAAACATGTAAATAATGTTGTTTTGGGCAATAATTTAGTAGCTGTTGAAGCAGCTGCTTTTGAAGCGCACCGTAACAAGCTCACTCCGATAGTGTTAAGAACTGATGTTGAAGGTAATGTTCATGAAGTCAGTTTAGCATATGTTCATATTGCAAGTTTAATATGTCTTGCATTAGATAAAAAATTAACAAGAGAAGAATTTTTTGAGAAAGTAAAAGATATACCTATACTTTCATTACCTTCCACTAAAGTGGATGAAATTTATAATTTGATTGAAAATATCAGTGGGGAAGGAGTGGTATTAATTGGAGGAGGAGAACCAACAGTGGTAGTTCAAGGAAAAGGAAAAGGTGGAAGAAATCAAGAACTAGCACTACATTTTTCCTTAGACTGGTTGGCAAAGATAAAGAGTAATCCTCGGTTTTCGGAATATGATGTGATAATGTTAAGTGCAGGTACAGATGGCCAAGATGGTCCAACTGATGCAGCAGGAGCATTCGGTTATCCTGCTATTGGTCCAATTATTCATGATATGTACCAGAAAGTGAAAAGTTTAGCTTCAGAGATGGTAATTAAAACAGAAACAAAGAAAGAAGCCATTAAAAAGAAGGAAGAGGAAAAGCAACAGCTAGAATCATTACGACCTAAAGAAATTTGCAAAAGGCAACTATTAAGTGGTTTTTGGCCAAAAAAAGAACATACTGAAGTACAAGATGAAACAACAGAAGAACAGAAAAAACTTAGTTCTACAGTAGATGAAGAGGCTTTACTTCCATTCATATATTTAACATTAGAAGTAGAACGTATGTTACCAGAAAATACTTTAAAGGAAAATGATTCATATAATTTATATTCGCGGTTCAAGAAAGGTGCAGATTTATTTAAAACTGGTTTTACTGGAACTAATGTCATGGATTTACATTTTATTTATATCAAGCAACGTAAGTGTGAATGTAAACTGGACTTTGAAAAAGAAATATCCGAAAACGTTTTAGATATGCATGACTTGCATATTGACCCATCAACTATTGAAAAGTATAATGCCCTACATCAATTACACCCTTTCAAATGGGAGAAGCGTTTATATAGACTATCACCTACTGTTAAAGATAAGGCTGAACAGCTCAATTTAAAAATTATTGATGATAATTTGCTACAGCCATGTTGCCGCAGAGATAGAAAATTTCCATTAACAGATGTTTTGAAGGAAAAAAAAGTTCCACTAGCACATGAATATTTACATGAAAACTAATAGTAGTTGATTAGGTATAAATAGCAAATTTTATATACAAAATACTTATTTTTGTACAGTAAAACTTAAAAAAAAATTGAATAAATACAAATATTTATACTTATAAATATAAATAATACAAATTTAATTAAATATAAAATTTAGAAATTATTACATTAATTATTAAATATTTACTAACAACTTTTAAGGTTCAATTTAATATCTTCCTTTTTTAAATAGAATTTACAGAAATATAAAATATATGTACATACAATTTATATATGTATATACAATCTATATATGTATATACAATTCCTTTTCAGTGTAACAAATCAGTGGTTACAAATGTGATATTTGTTTCGAATAAATAATAAACGTTTAAATAATTTATATATAATAGATGAAATTGTAGATATATTGTATTATTGTATTGTTAAGACACACATAAGCACAGTCACACGCACGCGTACATACTCACGAAACGTATATTATAACATACATACGCAAAAGCAATTTATTTGTACTACTGTGATTTATATAATATATAAGAGATATAATGTAAAAATTTTTTACGTTTTTGGTACTGTACGCTAAAGATCCCAGCTAAATAAATGATGTTTTACTAACATATCGCGGACACCATCTTTTAAAGGTTGCGATTGTTCCTTTTTCGGCGGTAATTCCCAATCAGGATTTAAATTAAACGCAAATTGACTTAATATTCTTAATTCGCATTTAATTTGCACCCACCCAGGACTGTTGATAAAACTCCATGGTTGATACCTATAAAATTAGTAATATTAAAATTATTATACAAATACTACAATAGAATAATTTATAGTTTTATAAAAAGTTGAGTACCATTTCTGTACAACTTCTACACATGAACATAAAACTTCAAGCCATAAGTGTAACACCTGTTCATTTAATCCGAGACAAATGAGGGATCGTAATTTTACATCCATTTGTGCATGTGCATTATCATGTGTTAAATTTACAGACTGAACGCATCGATATAACAACTGAAATAGAGTACACGAGATCAAATTATTTCGTTCAAATAACAATGTATTACGTAATCATAAAGAAATAATTTTTAAATACTACCTCTTCGGGTGTAAGAACTTTACCGTCTTCATCTAATCTGTACGTTTTACAAAGTACCAGCCTGCTATATACCGAATTGAAATCTTTTTCTACTTCTCTGTTTGATGCTTCTTCTATAAAAAGCCATGGGTGACATGGACCACCTAAAAACGTTGGTCTTCGCATTCCATGTTCTAATACTGCTTTGATAGCTGGACACAAAGTTCCTCTGACTAAATCCGTAACAGCTTCGCTGACTGTGTCATCTCCAGCACACGTATACTGTTTACTTCTTTCATCCAATAATTCTACAAATTTTGCTGGAAACCATCCTCTTAATCCATTGAGTTCCCCAACCCAGCAATGTTCATCTTTTTGGCTTATAATCGTAATTATGTCATTCTTCCGGAAACCAAGTTCGTCGTCGTCGTGTCTTTCAAAATCTGCAATAGAAAATGCTTAAAATAATGATAAGTAATAGTTCCACTATATATTAATAGAATACGATTAATAATGATTTTATAATTTAAATGTATGAAGTACCTAATAATGCTTTAGCTCTTCTCTTCCTAGTACGTGATACATTAACATAATTATCATGATCTTTTGCATGACTTTCCATACTATAATCTGCTATGAGTACAATATCACTTAATTTTGGATCGACATTTATGAAATGTCTTGCAAGTTGTAAACATGCTTCTCTTAAATCTACCAAGATCTCTGTAATATTTAATATATATAATATTCAATGTTCTTATAATTTTACGATTGCAATATAACTTGTTTTCTTGATGCATTAAAAATATAATACCTGTTTGACGGATATTCTTAGATTTCGCATCTTCTTCAGTTTCATAGTTCCCAAATAAAAATGTTTGTAGCATTGATTTATTTTTTTTCATTTGGCGCCTGTAATAAAAAGAAAATAATTATATTATAAATATTTTTCTTTAATATAAATTCATTAAAATTGTAATAATTACAATACCTATTGAGGTGTTGTTTCGGTAAATTCGGTACAGCATCAGGATTACCAACTAATCCTCCTTGGTCAGCCATTAAATAGGCTAAATCTCTACGTCTGTGAGTTTCAATTAAAACGTCTGTTAATGATCCACTCACCTCTAAAGCTGCCTAAGATAAAAAAAATGAAAAGTACATCATATCTTGTTTTTTTGTAATTTATAACAAAATTAATTAAAATATAGAAAAACTTACATTAAATAACTGATCTACATCGTCAATATCTCCTGGTATATCTGAAAGTGCGTTAAATATTTGTGCAGAATTTTCCAGTTGTGTTAATTCAGACTCTGAAAGGAGTTTAAATATTATGCTATACATATAATTTATTATCTTTATAATGATTACAACAAAAAACATAAACATATACCTTTAATTTTTAACATTCCAAGAGTAACTTGGAATAAAACTATTGATCCATCAAAAAGAAACATATCCCATATGCGTAATAATATTTTCATGTGTACAACAGATGCAAATAAAGTTAGGAACCAGTGTAAAGATATTAAACTTAATTCTATATCATGCTGAATCAGGACGTGATCTATATGAGGGAGATAATTTGACACTAATGTACGAAGTACTCTTTGATCAGCTTGAATCCCTGTTAGATATGTTTGAAATTAATTATACTTAAACTCTTATTATTTAGTACAATTCTAACAACACAGTACCTAACAATGTTGAAGAATAATAAGATGCTGGCAATAAATCTTCTACTATTGTAGCCATCATCCAAAAAGCATCTTCTTCCTCCAAAAGTAATAAGAGAGAAGCTGCTATTGTGCCCGTACCTTGACAGTATCTTTACAGAATAAATTAATCACAATACAGTAATAAAACAAAAATATAAAAATACTTTATAAAAGTATCATTACCCAATATCAGGATATAACCAAGCAAGAGCACGCATAACACGTCTTAAACGCGGTATTCCAGTGCTATGAAGGTGACTAAAACATGCATTAGAAGGCATAATACGAAGTAAATCTTTTTCTATTTGCTTGTTAGTCATCAATGCATCATTATTTGATGCTTTTATTATGTCTTTGTATGTGATTTCAGAAGAACATTTCTTTTGAAGTGCTCCTAAAAGTGATACAGAATATTGTTAATGATAATGTTACAATTATGAAATTTTCTTTTATGATTTATATGAACATGCCATGTACCTGACATTCTCATCCAAATTTGGGGTCTAAGAGAATGAGGTACACCATGACGGACCATGTCACGTAATTTATCTGTGCGAGGTAATCTCCTATCCATATTTTGCCATGAAAGTTCTGCCACTTCCTTATTATGGCTGAACTCTAACAGAGCGACCCATTGTAATCTGTAATATAAAATTGATCTCATTCTTTATTGCATTGATTATATAATTATATAATTAATATTGCTTTTACATTTACCTATGTTGAGGATCTTCAACAAATGGAATACCTAATAATTTCTTTGAACTTTGTTCTGGACCATCTTCTTCTTCCACACGAAAACCAAATTCATCAAACCTAATTTAATGTATTAAATTAAATACATGTTTAATAGACAATTTTATATCAAAACCAACTGATATAACTAACTTTTCTTGTTAAAATATGCCATAATCAAAAGGATATATAATGAAATAAAATAAATAAAAATATTTTGTAACATATTATTTATAACAAATACCTATATTCTGGTTGTGAATTAGGATCATCAGGTTGATTTAATTTAGCTAATATGTCTTGAGGCCACATGGACGGTGTCAAAGCAAAAAATGGTCCTCCTGGTGCTGGAGATAGAATTTCTCCACATAATCCTGCAATTTCCACTTCAAATTCATCTTCAGAAATTGCAGCCTCCAATTTTTTCTGAAAAATACAAAGATTGTATAATTTAGAATTAACAGATGTGTAATTAATTTTTGCTTTCTTTGCACAATATAAATACTATTTATATGAAATGTGTAACCCTTATGAATATGTTCAATATGTTAATATTATGCTTTTCTTTACTTATTAATAAAGTAATTAAATTAAATTAATAATAATAATTACATTGTGGTCTTCTCTTCCAACATAACCTTCGTGATCGCGGACATTAAACAGTGATTTAGCAATATTCATTTTACAGAAATTTTTATTATTATTTATTTTTATTAAATATATTGGTCTTTCTTATTATATTATATTATTTGTATATCACACTACTTGTCATGTTGAAATACATAAAATTATACTAAAAACAGCGTTGACAGAACCGATATTTTTGTATTTACTTCGCCATCTGTCGATGTTAGTGATAATTAATCCAATAACATCAATTAGGATGCATTCTCCATCTACCGAGGAAGTGACTAACTAAACAATGGTTTGCGCAGCTTGACGGCCTAGGGAAATGTCTAATTATGAGAGTAATGTTCCTTTACAGTATATTTCTACCTTTATGATCATATACACGGCGATGAAAAATAAACAAACAGTGAGAACATGTGATAACACGGTAAATATAAAACATAAAAGGAATGCTGTAATACATTTATTTAATATATTCATACAATATATAAATATAAAAAGTAAATTTATTTCATTTAATGAGCGTGACATTCTTACTAAGTAATATAGTTAAAATTTTTCTGCGCTCTGGGTATATGCTTCCAGCATTACGATCACCATAACAGCGCATGTGTGATATTACAGGTTACAAAGTTAGTAGAACTAAAATTAAGTAACACGCGGAAGAAGAGCGGGAAATAATTTATTTATTTATATAGGTCAAATCTTTTAACTAACAAATTTTTTATTTATATATAATACAAATTTTTAAACTTAGAAAGTTAAGATTTTTAAACTGAAAAATTTAAAAACTTTAAATTTATAAATTTTCAAATAATTCATAAAATTTCAAATTTAGAAACGTAAAAATAAAAATTTGTTAATTTTTAAATTAAATCTATAAATTTTGAAATTTGAAAAGTCCAGGTTTTCAACTTAAAGTTATCAAACGGCAGCCAATCGAGACTGAGCACTGGTTTGCTCGTCACCTCGTCTTATAATGGCTTCTCGCCTGTTCGCATTTCTATGTTCCTAAATGCATGATAGGGAACAAGCGGGAAAAGTAGCGTACTGTGCCCTAGGGAGTTTCGTTAGTGTTCGCGTATCGAGCTGCGAATTGGACTTTACCACCGACATTACACATAGAAAATGAATCCGATTGGGCAGCGTGGCACGAAGGCCACATCCGGCAGCAGCACTGCAGTATTGGTCGATCCCGCTTCAGTAACAGCGAAGTTGGTCGAATTTCCTATATATTATTGATAAATAGCTCGCGTTGCTCGTGTGACTTTTTAGCAAAATCGACGTCGGTATTCGTTTTCAGAAAGGGAAAGTCTAAACCGTCCGGATCACATATATACCGACACAATCACGAAGAGACGCAAAACGGTTAGGAGTACGCGCGTTCCTTGTAACGAGAAATCAGCCGAGGGATTATCGTGCATTGGGTGTGACGGACATTTATATCTGTGCGAGTTGCATGAAAGTCGTGTCGCGTTGCGTAGTGGACAATAACGACCGATTATTTGTGAATGCTACGGGTGTATGTGCGATTATGTCGAGCGCCCCTGAAGCGAGGTGAGCGCTATAGAAGGGGAAACTGCCCAAAAGAAGCTGTCTTCGAATCTGTTTTTTGCTCCGCCATTGTACAAGCTACGAGAGTACCGCGAAGGAAGCCGCTCGTCTTGTTTTCCCGTGTGTTCTCGTTCGACCGCGATTTTTATCGAACCGATCGCTGTTCAGTCGTGCAAACGCTCCTACGCCTGTGTTAACACACGTCTCGTGGTTACGCTATTCACGAGGCGAAACACGTTAGTGTTTCTTCTCTTTCTGTTGCGTATTCTCTCTCTCTCTCTTTCACTTACACATTTTGTATTTTCTTTCTCTCTCTCTTTCTCTCTTTCCCTTTCTCTCCGCGGTTGTTCCCGATGCCCTCGACATCTCTGCGGAAGTCGCGTGTGTGAAGGCTTTTCGCGTACGTGGACATCAACGACAACGCCGAGTGATTCGCGTAAGAGTGCCTTCGCTGGGATACAAATCTTGCGCGTCATTATGCAATAGACTCGTGCAGCCGACAAGAAAGAACTGCCTCCTCCGTTCAGGACGAGGACGGCGGTGGTGCTGTGCGGCATGTTTTTATCTTTGTTTTTCGATCTCGTGCCACGACGAGGAAGCTCTGCCGCCACCGCCGCCGCCGCTGCCGC